GCTGGTATTAGTCCTCTGGCTGGGTCCAGTCCTGGCAGTTTGTAGCCTGTTGCCACACTACTTTCACTGAAATTACAGTGTAAGGGACATGGGCTGACAATCTGATTTAGTACTTGATTTAGGGGCTGGAAACCCTGCCTGTAGCAGTGGGGTTGGAACATGATGATCCCTGAGGTCCCTTCCAACCCAAGTCATTCTACGATTCTACAATTCACTGCCATGCAGCTGCAGGGTCTCTCTCTGCAGTAACCTGTGTGCAATATGTGTAATATATTAGACTAACTGGGAGCACAGAGCATACCAGTGGAACTTGTGAATCTGTGTTATTTAAGTTTGCATGTCTTATCTGCCAGCCTAAATGTAGATTAGGATGCTCCCTAGCAGTGTTCAGTTGTTCTCTGAGAGCCGTGGGAACACCGCCGCTCCCTGTAGGTAACAGATCCTGCCTGTGCCGCACGTTCAGAGGATCTTTTCAGTGGGGATGCACTAATGTAAGGACAGGTGGCTTGGAGAAACAAATAATCTTACTTTCTTTTTGCTCTTTAGCTAGTCACCTCGCTTGCTTTAAATTGGTCTTTAAGGCTATTGTTTGCTGTAATGCAATTACACATGTTTTTCACTCAGACTCCAGTGAGCCAGAATTTGGCAGCAAGACCTGATAAGCCTTCTATGTATCTTTAGAAGTGAATTGCTTTGTGCTAGTCCATGGGAAAGTGTCTTCCATGATAATTTGTAATCCTTATTCCTCATCGTCTGTGGATGAAACCATCCATGGCGTGTACACTGACAGTCAATTGACATTTTAGAAGATCTTTCTTTTCCTGTGCACAGGGTTTGTACTTAGAGATGTCTTTCTCCTTTACTGTGTAGGAAGTAAACCTTGAATCTATGGTAGCCTTCTTTCTATTTAGTATCTTAATGGCACACATGTATATAGTGATTTCAGTAAAAGATCTTTCTGGATAGTAAAATTCTGGGGAAGTGCTGTGTAAACTTGTAGAACTATAGAGGAGTTGTAAACTACTGAAAGTATAAAAATCTGTCAAAAATGCTAAGTATATGTGTTTATATCACTGAAGTTTGTCTGTATTCTGATATATTAAATGCTTACAACCTAAGGTATGCTGAAATCTATCACAGGCTCACCTTTCTGGTGACGCTCAGTACTTCCATCTCACACTGACAGCACCTACCATTGGCATTCCTCATTCTGCAAGCAGAAAGCCCAGAGGCCAAGTGTTTACAGTTCCTGAGTGGACACAGGGATAGGAAAAGCAGCAGTGAAGGTTACTTTTCTAAGAAACGGAGTTTTTCAGGAATGCATTGTTGATATGTGTAAATGTATGCCTCTCCATAGTGTAAATGTGCACATAGGTGATTATTTTAAAGGATCATGTTTCAAGCTCAGTAGTATTGTGATTATGTTTGCAGAGACTTCCAGCTCTACAAGCTCTTAGTTTAAACAAGCCTTATATCTGAAGTTTTTCTGTAGTACAGAATTTCCAACAGGCTCCCTTAGGCGGTTAAAGCAGGCAGGATTTACAGGTAGATTCCACATCACGTAGAAACATCAGTTGTTAGCATTTTCTCCTTGAAGGTATTTGTAGTTATGCATGTTCTCCGGGCAACTAAAGAGGAGTTTCCAACATGTGTATATTATTCAGTAGGAGGTCCTGGAGACCCAAGAAAACAAAAGAATGAATGATGCTGCTGAGACCCACACTTGTCTGGTTTCCTTTGCAATGATGCAGTGCTTGGCAAAGGTGAGGAAGAAACTCCACGATGTTAATCAGCATGTGTCTGTCTCTTGGGCCCAGAGAAACTGTGCTCCTCTGAAGCAAAATGATGGAGCTTTTTCTGATAGCCAGTCCTGAGAATTTACAGAAGAAAAGCTACCTCTGAGCTGAGAAAATCACGTGAAACAACCTTTCTACCATGAAAACAAATGACGTAATTCTGTCTAAACATAAACTTTAAAGGGCTTCTGAAAGCTCTCTTCAATATTTTGAGATCCAGTCAGGAATAGCTACAAGGGGAAAAAAACCAGTCTTCTGTCATGAAGTAAACATTAAAGATCATTTAAGGAAATAAATGAAGGTGATTTCTGTATTATCCCATAATGGACAGGGTAAAAGATGCTTGTCATTAAAATCTTTATTTTCTCTAGTGCTCCTTATAGAAATAATAGCCACTCAGAAGATTAATTTCAACTGCAGATTCAGAATAGTGCAGATGGGCTTTACTGGTATATGTACCAATGTCTTACCAAAATCCTGTTGGAGAATGAGGTCTGTCTCAGGGCAGAACCCTACCTTCATGTTTTTATGACATCGTAAGTGTAACAAAGGGTGAGGAAGAGAAAAACTCTTTTGGTTGGTGGCTGCAGGTCTGAAACAGCTGAATAATTCTTGCATTTTTAAATCCTTGATGACAACTCGTAAACGAAAGTTTCTCTGGGTGATAATGACTTCCAGGTATATTATGCTGTCCATTTTGGATTGTCCAGTGAAGCCTTTCTTATTTATTAAGTACTATCTTACCAGAAAAGGACACATTCATTTAAGTTTCCATGATCTTCCCAAACTTGTTGCTGAGTGCTGAGATTCAGATGCTGTTTCAGATTTGCGAGGATAGTAGTAATTCATACAGTTCTATCTTTCACCTTGAGATCTGTCCAAAAAATGCAGTTTGGAGAACAGACAGATGTAAGTGATATAATGAAGTGAGATAGGGTGTTTCTGCTCTAAGACTGTATATAGTTGTCACATCCTGATAATTCTGAGAAGAAAAGAGTGTGCTTCGGGAAGTCTTTGCAGTCCTGTGAGATTAAGATTGAAAATCAAACTAAAAACCATGACTCTGTGTCTTCAATTTGTGTTCTACCAGCCTGGAAGAGCTTGGGTCTTCCATGAGTGTAGTCAGAGGGGAGAAACTGCTCTCAGTTGAATCTTGGTACTTCCCAGCCCCAAACTCTTCTTCCTTTTTGACACAGGAGAAGAGCCCTATATCACCCCTTTTGCTTATTATTAGCATGTTCAAGGAACATTTAGACGTTCTGTTGAGGGACATAGTTTAGTGAGAACTATTGGTGATAGATGGATGTTGATCTGGATGATTCTGTAGGTCTTTTCTAACCTCGGTGATTCTATGATTCTATGATTCTTCTGGCCAGAACTGAGTATCTTAGAATCACAGAGTGATTTGTGTTGGAAGAGATCCTGAAGACAATCTTTTTCTTACTTTCCTGCCATGAGCAGAAACACTTCCACTAGACCACGTTACACAGAGCATCACCCAGTCTGGTCTTGGACACTTCCTGTGATGTCATTGGGCAAAACCCTGGCACAGTTTTCTGAAATGTCAGTGTGGCAGTCAGGAGGCCCTTTTCAGATCTGTGTGATCCCATGACCTCCTTAAACTATCAGAAGAGTATCTGTTACTGCAGATCCAGATAGGAGATGGGCTAGGAACAGCAAATGCTGGCAAAATACATCTTCTGTCAGGGAGAATTTAAAGCTTACGATGAAATTACAGAGTCATAGAGTAATTTCGTTTAAGTGAATCTGAAATCAACAAAACAGCTGAGCATGGCTAACACGTTAGGGCTTCACCATCAAGGGATTCTTCTTGGCAGAACAAAAAATAGTAACAGACTTCACAGTTACAGCAACAGAGAACTGTAGTAAAGCTTTAAGAGAGGTTCTATTTTTGTAGGAAGTGACTTCTATTGCTCTGTCTGATGAATGTAAAATTTGTCAAATATCTAGTCTAGCTATTCAGGAATCTCAAAAATGCCATCAAATAACTAAAGAAAATATGACTAACGGCACAATCTTAATGAAGAAATTAAAATAAAAATAAGCAAGTTGTTGGATGTAGCGAGAAGTATGCAATGTGACGTAAACACATTATAGAAATGAAAGTAATTCCACATTATGGTACACAACACTGTGGTGAAATGGCAAATTTATTTGAGAAGGTGTTTGGGTTGATGTTACAAAACAACTCTTTACTTGCTCTAATGATAAGTTCAGTTTCTCAAGATTGGTGGTTGTGCGTACTTCCTTTTTCCAAGTTTCTGTGGATCAATACCCCTCGTGAAGCTGCTGACACCTAACAAGCTCTGCATGTCTCTAAAGATCAAAGACTGAGTAGGTCTCCTGATCTCAAGAAGAAATGAAATCTGGCAGTGAGCTCCATCTTTCACCTGGCTACAAGCCACAGCTTCTCTGCATTTATCTGTGAGCTTCCAGCAGAAATTTTACAGTTTATAGACTTTCTGTTATGTATAGCATTTTGGTAAGTGTGCCAAGATCTACCATTGGAGCTAAGAAATTATTTATGTCATAAGAGGGAAATACTATTTCAGAACTATTTGTAAGGTGTTAAAAACAATGTCAGCGCTGTTGACTTTGCCTTAGTTTCCTTCTGTGCAATGCCCTGATCTGAAAATTTCATGTGTTTCAAATACATGCTCAGCTGAATGAAATGCTAGACTTTAAGGCTCAGTTCTCATTCATTAGTCAATGTGCTCATCAGTCCGCAGACTTAAATATGCATAGAGCCAAGCCCAAACTAATACAAATGACATTTCATTTGTTGGCATTATCTTCCATAATGTCATTATTATTACTTCAAAGTTTTTGTAAATTTTGAAATGTAGAAGTGCATACGTGGATAGTGGTTATAAACATAGCTTCACCACTGCTAAATCACATATGTGATTAGCTATATGCTATAATTCTGAAATTTCTCAGCACTCATAAACACAGCCTTTCAAAAAATACATTTAAAGATAATATCAAGAATTCTACCTGAAAAAAAAAAATGAAAAACCCAATAAAATATATTTTCTCTCCTACGCAACATATGTGAAGTCTGTTCCAGCAGAATCCTAATTCAGGTATTTGAACCAGTTTGGAATACTAAAGAAGGCTTACACTCAAGGTATTGCCATCTTTATGTTCTGACTATCTGTAGTTAAAAAAAAAAAAAAAAAAAAAAAAAAAAGTACAAGAAAATAATTCAAATCAGTGCATTTTACCTCCTAAACAATAAATGAAATGAAATGGACCATCTGCTTCATCTTTTTTTAGCCTGTCATACACATACAATATGTGACTCTGGGGTACTGCAGTGATTTTTCATCATTTACAGGTTAATATGAATGCTCTTCACTATTCTGAAGTCATTCCAGTCTCATGATAGCAAATTATTGAAACAGTGATTTATTTTTTAAAAAAATGTTCTGCTTTTACTCATTATCTAGTACAATAAAGGCTAGAACATTCTGGATGAGACTGTAGATGCAGTGGCAATATAAATTAACAATAGGAGTTGTAAATGAATTTTATGTATTACTATGGGCTTTTTCAAGAGTTTACGTTAGATAAATATTTAGCAGATCTTGCTTAAGTAAAGCTATCTTCTCAGCAGCTTCCTCTGCTCATATTGTGCATCTCCTGTTTATACTTGTATGACAAGACAAGTGATCAACGCGTAACTGCTGGGAATTAAGTTAACCTTGGAGTATTTTGCTATGACTCTTGACTTCTGCAGACTTTTGATTGAGCTCTCAGCCAGGTTGTCTTCCACACAATTGTATGGATGAGATTCTGGGGGCAGGTGTTAACTGTGGAAACCTACTTAGTATTAAACGTACCTGTCTGATGGCTACCGACTTTGGAGACAAAGTTTTTATATATTTTTTTTCTGGTCATTGTTCTTTACAAAAGACCTAATTGAATATATTTGTCAAATCATGTCTCTGGTTTCCCTCTTCTTCTCCCCCGCTAATTGGACATGTATTGTGTTTGTGTGGGAAGGAAGGAGGCTCTATAGCAGGACAGCAATATTGCTGGGAAAAGAACATTAAAATGGATAAAGGGATTTTCTAGTGGTATAAATACCTGCACACGACCTCCCTGTTCTCTGGAGTCCTTCTGTATATGTATATACAAGTGCAAACACTGGAATAGAGTTGGAGCTGCCATTAATCGATCAGGACCTGATCAGTTAGAAAACGGGGAAGGGTGGCTCTTTGCCTTTCACCTGTTTGAGGGCATGACTTGCCAAGCGTTTGCTTCATCCGACAATTTTGTACCCTTGAATTCTGACTCTTCTCCCTCCCTGCCTCTGATAATGCATCACAGCGCAGCAGAGTGCCTGCCCGTTTCTAACCATGCGACCAGTGTTGTCTCCACAGGTACTTTTTAAAAATGATATTGCTCTCTGTAACGCTCATTTGTAGTGCTTTTAGATATGTGTGCATCAAGTTTTATGATATTTGAAGTGTTTGATATCGGTGTTATGTGAGTCTGAAACTACTTCAGAGTGGAAGCATTTTCATAAAGCTGCATCGTGTGTAAATCAGGAACACTCTAAATGTTTGCCTTTCAGTCAAATTTTAGCTTTCTCCCAGCTTATTAGAATATTAGGCTAAAGTCAGCTGTCATTACAATAACTCAGAACAGGTTTAATGCTGACATTTTTGTGTGCCTACATAGTCTTCAGTGATGTCATGTAAATAATTAAAAGTTTGTTTTCTGTGCAACCACAAATTTTGATGACATAAATTACTTTAGACAGAAAACACATTTAAAACAGGTGTAGTATTAATTGTGAGGGCTTCCAAGAAGAGGGGAAAAAAACCCTAATTACCTCCTGAATAAAATAACATCTAATGTTCAAAACTGGTGACAGAAATCTCATCTACATTTTGGAAATTTTTGTTTGTGTGAATAATCCAAATAATTGCATTTAAACAATAAACTGTCAGAGACAGGGAGAGAGTTTTTTTTCAGCCTCAGATCTTCAGAAGTGGTATTCCGCAATATAGAAGCTACTAAAAACTCTCAGGAATATAAATAGCTTTGCTTTATTTGAATCTACATCAAGGTAAGGTAAGAGCTTTACTCAAAATCCCAAAAAGAATCAGTTTGCTGAAGTGCATCGGAAATAAAATATTTTAACAATATGAAAAAGCATGTAAATAGTGAAAACTGAGCATCAGTAATACATAATGCAATCTCATTCTCCAGGCACGAAGCTCAAAATATCCTAACACAATTGTTGGATAGTGGCTGTAGTAGGGAATAACAGAATTAATTTTTTTTTGGAGGCCATAATAACTTATCTGTGTCATAGCAGTATTTTCTAGATTGTTTATTTATCCATCTTGAACTACAAAAAATATATGTGGTGACTGGTAGAGCTACAAAAAACATTCACAGGTGTGTTTTAGGTTTTCCATACTGTGTAGTTAAAACTCAGGGACCACTGTTATCAGTAGAATTCTCTTCACAGCCTCACATCTAGCAGGTGACCATCTGAGAACAGAAGTGACTGAGGGTGCCATTTACAATGAGCAAGCTTACGGAATTTTATATGTGGATCCAGAAATTGCATTAAATAATAACATTTTGGTGGAAACAGATAAAGCAAACTTGTGCAAAAGAGTAGAAACGGGAGAATTTTGAATAATGACGTAACTTAAATGTAGAAATTCATTAAACGGCGTGTAATAATCCTGTATTCTTAAATAGAGTATACTTATGTTCAAGAATTATGCTATATCATAAACTAATATTCTGCAGTATCCTCTCTGCAGTTGATACTATTAAATTCAAATAGCATCTTCCTCCCTACCTTGTATTAAATCTTTATTAGTCAGTTGAAAACGGCAATTTTTAAGCATAACAATTATATTGATTATGGATTATGAAATAACAATAGAAAAACAAATACCTACAAGTAAACTCCTAGATATTATTTCAAAAGAAATGTTGTGTTGCTCAGCATGCATGGGTATTATTAATTCAATCTCTCTTTTGGATGAACTTACAGTTGTACAGGTATGACTGTTCCAGTAGCATTTGTATGCGTAAATGTGTAAATGGCATTTTACAGTTCTGATCACTGTTCTAAAAAACAGGCACTAATCCTTAATTAATCATATTGCTCTGAACACGTCGAATGTGTGCTCTGAAGTTCAGGTTTTCACGTTCACAAATATGAATTTACAATGTTACTCTTTACAACAGTTGTTACAGGGCACTGTATATTTTTACTGCCTACTTACACAAGGAACACAACTATGTATTTTGCACTGAACAAAAAATTGTCTGATTCGTCAGGTACTGGGAGGTTACTGAGCATAGACCTGAAATACCTATCTCTTCATCTTACTGATCTATAAACTGCTGACTTTCTCTTCCCAGAGATTGCCAGATGGTTATGTCCTAGAGTTAATGTTTACAGGAGAGCTAGATACAAGGATACTGTCTACCTCTGAACTGAAAGGATGTATCTTGAATCCTCATGCGTTTTCTTACCAGTCCCGTCTGTTTTGTCTTTGATACAAACTCCTAAATGTTCCCAACTCCATTTTGCTGTGATGACTTCGGGAAACGTGTCAGCAGGACTTCACTACTCTGTGCCCTCCTGTCACTATGGAAATCAACCCTCTACCTATGGGGTGATGACAGGTAAGAGGCAGCCTCAACTGAATGAACTATTAGCATAATGAGTTTGGTCAGCTCTCCTTTAGATGAATAAGTTCAAAAGAGTTGCTTAAAGACAGGACTGGAGTTAAGGCGCTACAAAAGAGGTTAGCAAAGTAGGATTCAGCACATCACTCTGTGTCTTACTTCTTTCTTTAAGACGGGGACAGTGATGCTTTTTTCACTTACCTATGTCCACTTTTCCTTTTGAGGGATTAGGAATGACTTATCTGATATATGGGGTTGTTACCAATATCTATGGTCCTGGAGCCTACTATTTCTTTTGTCTCCAAATACCAGAATCGAATGAGAAAAGGCAAAGCAATGAATCTACACAATGTTTGCTGAAGCTACTTTTAGCTGCCATATTTCTGTCATGAAGATCAAGGCAAATATTCTAAGATGACATAGTGTGTATAGAATCATAGTAAGTAGTACCAATGAGCACTAACCTGTATTTAATTCCAACAAAATTTAGGATCAAGGTTAGAAACAGAGAGCTACAATTGAAAGTTATTTTCTTATTCTTATAATTTTTACTAATTTAAAGACATTGGGATAGCCTTTAAAGCCAGAAACACTTTCAGTCAGTGTATGATTTTCCAAGTCCTATAAGGCAGTATAAATTACATTCATACAGATGATCATGTATTTTTACATTTAAAGGTATGCTAGCATCCCAGTCACATCCTAGGCTAAATGAAGTTACTCTGCGCAATTTAAGTAGCCTTCAGTGAAACAGTGTCTAGAGCCAAATTAACATGCAACCCAGAAGATAAATGTTACTTGAAGATAATCCAGATCAAACTCCATGTTTGATTTCACTTAAGATTGATGAAAATACTACAGTAAATCAGCATGAATGAATATATCTGCATAGGGACTTCTTAGAGACAGAGAGTAGTGCAAATATTCAGAAGTTCTCATCTCATGGATAAATTCACATCTGTTGCATTGTTCAGATCCCCAGGTAAAATCCATAGGTATTAAAAAATAGATATTAAAAACAGGTATTGCTCAGAAGTTTATTTTGTTTTGTTCCAAAATAAATGCATCTTCATCTTACTCCTTTCTTTCCTTTAATATCCTTCTTTGTCTCTAGGCATCAAGCCTGCAACTCCAGAGATGCTATCAGCAAGTCTCTCCCAGAGTCGCATCTTACAAACATGCAGCATGCCACATCCCAATGTAGTAAATGGTGTCAGCACTTTGCAAAGCAAGTCTTTCTCTTTTTCTTGTATTTCCTTATTCCTTGGAAACATCTCTTTCGTGGATTTCCTGTGCGAAATGTATAATGTATTCCAATGGGGTAGAACCTCTAATACTAAAGACAGCTATCAGAGCAGTAAAGAAAACAAGTAGAGGAGGAATGTGGAGGGGTTGCTAATGAAGCTCTGAGTTCTGCTGCCAATGTTTGTGTCATTTAGAAAATTGAGGATTTCCTGGGGACTTAGACGTTATCATTCATTTCAGGTAACACTAAGGAGGTTTCATACTTCTACTTTCTTCCTAATAAGTATGCTTTATCTCCTTCAGCTTAGAAATTCTTTCTATATAGGTGCAATACCTAGCAAAAAAAAGAGCTTTCACTCTGACTGAATCTCCTTGTTAAGATTGATAAACATGAACAAAAAGTAGCACAAGGTAGCTTTATCCTTAAGCAATATATTTTTAAGCTAGAATGGTCATTGTTTTTCTCTGGGTTTTCCTAAAAAAAAAATCTTATATTAAACCTTACCTAAACCTTACCAAAACATAAGGACTGTTCTGAAAGTAATGTCTCCTGTTTTATTACGTTGGCCCATGATGTCAGAAGCAGATGTTGATGGTATGGCAGTAGAGGCTGAACCTTCCCACCAGGTGATAGATGGCAGCAGAGGGAAAGTCTAATAAGTGATATCTGACATGGAAGTTCATATGAAGGAAAAGTGTGACACTGAATTTTTCCATGTGGAAAAAATGGCACACACTGGCATTCATCAATGCTTGCTGAATGTTGATGAAGATCAAACAGTGGATGTGAGCACAGTGAGGCAGTGGGTGGTACATTTCAGCAGTAGGGACAGTGACATGAAAGACAAGGCATGTTCTGGATGGTCTGCATTTGGAGTCTTTTGACTTACATCTGTTTGGGCTGATGGAAGATGGGCTGCATAGACAACATTTTCCTAGCAATGACATCATCAGAGCAGCTGTGAAATAGTGGGTCACTTCTGCTGGTGCAGATTTCTATTAGTTTGACATAGAGGCTATTGTTCATCACTGGAGAAAATGCATAGCTAACGGAGGTGACTATGCTGAAAACTAGTATCTTGTAACTGAGAATTTGCTCTACCAAGTAGTGTTATTGCTCTGTTACAGTGTCCGTGGAAATAAATAGGAGGCATTACATTCAGATTGACCTACATAGTATCTGGTCTGGACATCATGTCTGGATTAGTGTTTGTTGGAATCTGGACTGCCATCTAATTTGATTATGTCACAATTTGCGCATGCAATGCGATGGCTGTGGTATGAGAAAGTAGATGTTGTTCTGCTTTTGTATAAGGGGACAAGAGAAAGACTGGGCCTTGTGGAAGATCCTTATCATCTCTCTTGCATAGCCTTTCACATGTTACGAAAAAAAATATTACAATCTTTGGCTATGAGATTACAAAGGCACATTTTTAATAGTGTTGCAGAATAACTAATATTTAGTTTTCTTTTGGGTTTTGCTCAGGTAGCCTGACTCCTTGCCTTTATAAGTTCCCTGAGCATGCCCTGAGTGCCAGCTCTTGTGCCCTGGGCCACAGCTTCACACCCATGCACCAGACCCTCCTCAGTGATGATCCCACAGCTTCAGACTTCAAGCAGGAATTCCGCAGGAAAAGCAAGTCTGTGGAAGAGCCCGTCGACATGGATTCCCCTGAAATCAGGGAACTGGAGAAATTTGCTAATGAATTCAAACTGCGGAGAATTAAACTCGGTATGTGCTTTTAGCCAGCCAACAAAAGGCTGAAAATTTCCAAGGAGATACCTATTATTTCTAAATATTTTATGGTCTGGGCCATGCACTTGTCTCATCATAACTTTAATCCTCCTGGTCTGACTAACTTTCTCCATTCCTAGAAAACTTGTGAAGAATTAATAAATGTCAGCTTTTAGCATCTTAGTGCGACAAAAGTAACTTTAAATATTCCTTCTTTATGAATTATTTGTCTTGTTCACAAGAGCAAACAAAATTTATTCTTGTTCACTAAGTTCCATTCAGTAGCAGGTATGTTATTTCATATAGTTTCAGATTTTCTGCAGCTGAGAGCAGCCCATGAGCTGATCTTTTGTACCCATTCCTTTCCCCATGAAGTGCTCCATCACACAAGGTGGTGCAGTGTCACTTCAGTATGCAAGATGGATGACATCCGTGGCAAATATTTCACACCAGAAGGAAACTTTTCTTCCTGTTTTATTTTCTGGTGCCACAGCACCAGATGCTGCCTGATAAATAGCAAGGATGATGTGAGATGAACTGCATTGGTGGGTCTCTGGTGAGCTGAATATTGGGTACTCCAAACAAAATACTACAATTTTGATGTTATTGCTTATAAAATTATATTGTATCATTACAATTTTAGGGCATCCTTCTACAAAAAATCACCTTTATAAATGTGAAAAAAGGTTTACATGTTTGTTACAGATACCTATGCCTTATCTCAACCACTAGAAATCGCTTGTGTTCCACTTTGCAGTATAAAAATAAGAACAAAAGCAGAAATTTATATTTTAAAATAAAATCTGTAACCTAGGTAGTTTTGTTGTATATCGTGTATTTAGTGTCAAATGCAGCACAGGAAAGATTATCTGGACCCCACACTATTAATCACTATAATTATTACTGCATCTTGATGCAGTAATTTGTGAGGGAGCAAAAGTTGCACTGATGTAAACAAATGGCTCAGAGGTGGTGAGGCTGAGCTTACTGTGTTAGTGGGAAAAATGTAATTTGCAGAGGAAAACTGATCTGAGGTTGAATTTTATGAGAGAAGACAGAGTTAAAATGGGCTGTGGATCTGGGACCGAGAAACACAGTTAGTGCAGTCAAACGGGAAGCAAAAAGGAGCCCTGTGAGATATTTGGCATCTAAAAAGATTGTACCCATCCTGGCTCACATGTAGGTAGGCAGGAAGACAAGACAGATTGATTGGTGCACTGAATGGGGTCCTCAGTGCCTGTTAGTGAAGTACAGCCACCAGAACACAGGAGACCAGCAGACCACACAGATAACAGGAGACCAGCAGGGCTGACAAGGAGTAGCTTAATGCCACCGCATCACTTACAGAAATGTATGGGATCTGGATATTTCTGAGATCCCTAATCACAGAGATGTAAAACTTATGAAATCAGCAGAAGGCTGGGCACAGCCTAAGGTGAAATGAAAGTCAGCCCAGGACCTCTACAAAATGATCACAGAATCATAGAATCTCTAAGGCTGGAAACACCAAGATCACCCAGTCCAAGCACCAACCCATCCCCACTGTGCCCACTATGTCCCTCGGTGCCACATCCACATGATTCTTGGACTCTTCCACAGATGGTGACTCCACCACCTCCCTAAGCAGCCTGTGCCATCACCTGATCTCTCTTTCTGAGAATAGATTTTCCGTAACAGCCAACCTGAACCTTTCCTGGTGCAACATGAGAACGTTACCTCTTGTCCTATTGCTGTTACCTGGGAGAACAGGCCAACTCCCACCAAGCCACCACCTCTTTTCAAGCAACTGTAGAGAGTGATAAGGTCTCCCCTGAGTCTCCTCTCCTCCAGACTGAACAATCCCAGTTCCCTCAGCTGCTCCCCATAAGACTTGTGCTGCAAACCCCACACCACCCCACACCAGCTTTGCTGCCCTTCTCTGGACACACTCCAGAGCCTCAAAGACTTGTAGTGAAAGGTCCAAAACTGAACACAATACTTGAGGTGTGGCCTTACCAGTGCTGAGTGCATGCACCACAGGAACACCAGGTTCCTAAGAGTCCACAATGAAGGACTCAGTGGCTCAAGAACGGTCACCTTCTGTAGAAAGATCTGGAGTGACTTTTTCCTCTTAATTTTGACAGGTTATACACAAACCAACGTTGGTGAAGCACTGGCTGCTGTGCACGGCTCCGAATTCAGTCAAACTACCATTTGCCGCTTTGAAAACTTGCAGCTGAGCTTTAAGAATGCATGCAAACTGAAATCAATACTGTCCAAGTGGCTGGAAGAAGCAGAACAAGTGGGAGGTACAATTGAAATCCTCTACGTATTTACTGCAAGTAGATCACAATCCTATAAATACTTTGAAGGACTAATATGTGCCTTCCATAAACTGAGAGTTTTGCTTCACTAGCTTTAGATATTAAGGTGTGTTGATGGCATGTATTAAATTTTGGTTTTTTTGGGTGAGCAAAAAATATTTGGAGGGGCAAAACTATAAGGCATGGAGACTACAGAACTGCAGAAACACCACTTGCTTGCTGGAAGTCTTTTTCTTCAGTCTTATTGCAGTGAGCTAGTTCCATTCCTGTACTCATAGTCATTACCTCTACTTTAGGATCTGCAGGGCAGCCCATGCAGCACTGAACTGGATTTGTTCACTAGCAGAGGACTTCCTTCAAGTGCCTAGCATTTAAGATGTGGGCATGGGGTGCAGAATTCATGTTCAGCTGAGGCAGTGCTCTTTAAAGCCCTGAAGAAGAATAGTATGGCATAGGGATTATTTTTTTTTAATGTGATCTTTTTGCTGCTAGAGGATTCCCTTCCTTTTGCCCAGTTAATTTCTATGAGTAGAGAGTTCTGAGGTTCCCTGGGCTAAGCTGATTGGGAACAGGTTGGCTGATATAAAGGAAACAGGTCATTTTAAGGGACAGCCTTTTCATCTGAATTCACTGAGACTGAATTGAGATGAGGGGAAGTGGCATGCCTGGAGGTGACCGAGAAAACCCGGTCTGCCGCTGTGCAGCACTCACCCAGAACAGGAAGAAAGAGATTTAATACTGGCTTTTGGATTTGCCATTATATTCAGCAGTAGGAAACACTGTTAAGCAGCTGCTTCTGCCATGCAGTTCAGTTTCCTTTGAACCAAATGAAACCAGAAACTCTCCTAATGTGGTCAGCACACTGTAAGAATTACTTGTAAGGTGTTTGCAGTGTGTAGCAGCTGCTGACTTTGTTAGCACTGGTGAAGGCGTAAGCTGCACAGTAAGGAAAAGCAACCTTGCTCTAGAAAGCAAGGGCGGGGGGGATGAATAAATGGGATGGAAGGCAGAGCTGTATTTCTGAAGACAGTGAGATAGCTGATGGGTATGGAAATGGATCCAGGTTGCATCCTGCTGCTAATGATGAGGAAAGTATGTAAAATCAGTGGAGTGACACATCTCCCCATGTACGTGGGCATAGAAGCAGAGCCAGTGCTATTGCAGCTTTACCACTGGCATGCTGCTTTTGCTTATAACCATTTTCAGCTGGAGTTGAAATGACCAAGACTCTTAAAGTAAAAAGTATAACTCTGTGGTGCAGAGCTATACTTATTCTCCTTATTCAGTAGTATTACCTGTTACACTTTCTTCTGTCTTCAAACAAAGGCAAATTTTTTTTTTCCAGTGATGACTGCACGCAGTTTCCATCCCCTGTGGAAGTTAACTGCTCTTTTGTTTTTGTTTGTTTTGTTTTTAATACAGCTTTATACAATGAAAAAGTTGGTATGAACGAGAGGAAGAGGAAGCGCAGAACCACCATAAGGTTATACATATTTATGGGGTTACATGTTAGAAATGCTTTTAGCTAAGAGGTTTCATTTTGGGGGGTTGAAATCAAAGCATTGTTTTCTATTTGTGAATAGCTAATGAAGGATAAACTATTTTGAAACATTTCAGTGAAAATAAAAACACACCTCCCTATGAAACCCAATGGGCTCCAAGTACAACACATTTCCCCATTAGAGACTTTTCAAAATATGACAACATACTTTCATGTGAAAAAACATTCCGATTCTGACCCAGTTTTACAACTTTGATATAGGAAATAAGTGCAGGCCACCCTTGTTTGTTTGTTTGTTTGTTTGTTTTTGTTTTGTTTATGGAAAGTTCTACATCATTTCAAATGAACTTGCATGATTTTCCGGGAAATTAATATCTGGGACATCTGAGGGCATATTTTACAGGTGATAGTGGATCTCCACCTCTGTTCTCTGCTGCTGGATTCCTTAATTTCTTAGAGTTCCTAAGGAAGCATTTTCTTGAGCTGTATGAAAAAAAAAAAAAAAAAAAGAGAGAGAGAGAGAGAGTTGAGTTGCTAGGGAACTTTCTTCTCCCGTTATTTTTTTCATCTCAGGTAGCCAACACCTACCACCTGTCTAGCCTCAAATCCATACAGAAATTAAGTAGGCTGGTGATTAATAATAGAAATACAATTACCAAATAAGGAAAACAAAGAACATGATACAAGAGATGGTGAGGTACACCATTTTCTTTTCAGTATCCTAGACTCTTGTAATTGTTGGTGAAGAAGAATTCACTCAAGGGGGGGCCTCCAAGTAGCTGCAGCATTCTTCCATAGAAAGGGGATTTGGCCACTTTAGGGTGCAAACTTAGCACTGCGAGGCTCTACCTCTTGCAGCAAAGTGCCTGTTCTTTGAATAGCAATCACATCCTCTGTGCAATGCCATCTCCCAGAGATAAAGGCTGCTCTGTAGCCACTCAATCTGAGCCCCACAGTGACAACTCATACTTTCTTCTCTTACATATTCAACTTGAGCTTTGCTTTTTTGAATTATATTGCCTTTGATATAAGAAATAAAATGAAGATATGAATTATTTCTGTCTTTCAAACTAGATCCAGAAGAGGATGCTTCTCAGCTAGGAGTGAACAGGGAATGTAAAACGTTTCATTGCTCATTTGCTAATCACAGCACCTCACTAGGGACAAAACTTTACTCATGGAAGGCCATCCTCAGCTTCTCTTTAAGTGAGAAAGGACTGTGCCAGGCCCTTACCCACTATGACCTACATAGCTGTGATTTCAGAGCAACTCTGTTCAGGTGTTTCCCAAGATCTAGAGAAGCCTCCTGAAGATTTTTCCACTAACACTATAGGATTTGCTGTTCTTGTTTTATCACAACTGCTGAGGAAATCAAGCTTATTATTATTTCTGCTTTTATATCTATCCTCATTACACTAAGGCTATTAAATATGGCAGACTGTCAAGTGCACAGACCACTGAGTGGAAGCTCAGGACTATACCCAGTATATTAAAACCTATAAAATGTTTACTATTTCTTTGAAGGCGTATAGCACATCAGTTTGAGGACTTGAAGGACCTGGTAATTTACAGCTGTGGAAGGCATTTAATTTTCTATTGTTATTAGAAGTTTAAAAAACTTTCAGTAAAAAAATAATCGTAGAATCACAGAATGGTTTGAGTTGGAATGGATCCTTAAAGGCCATCCAGTGCAACTGTCCTGCAATGGACAGCTTGATCAGGCACTCAGAGCCCCAACCAGCTTGACCTTGAGTGTCCTCATGGATGGGGCATCCACCTTCTCACTGGGCAACCTGTTTCAGGCTCACAACCCTTATTATAAAACACCTTTTCCTTACGTCCAGTCTAAGTCTCTGCTCTTTTAGTTTGAAACCATTTCCCCTTGTCATATCACAACAGGCCCTGCAAAAGAGTCTGCCTCCTTCTTTCTTACAATCCTGCTTTAGATAATGAAAGGCTGCTACCAGGTCTCCCCAGAACCTTCTCCAGGCTCTCTCAGTAAGGTATCTATACATCTCTGTGCATGTAGAACATTACGCTATTAATTAGCTGGTTTGGGCAATGTTGCTAAATATTGCAAAATGCACACATAAATGAAAGACCACCAACATACTACATTTGAAATAACAGGAACTCCAGCAGGTATTTCACACGTTTGCACATTATTTCCACTATAATGCAGAAAGTGCCCTCTTGTGTCCGAAGAAATTACAGCTACTGCTTAAGCCAACTTTGGTTGTGTCCTGTTGTGGCAATGTAAAAATGTTGCAGATACTTTCATTTCTGAGAACATATTAACAAAAATAGGAAGCAAATTCCATCTGACACTACGCAAAGATAATAATCTTACTTTACCTTTTTTTTTTGGTACTGTTCAACTTTAGTCATTGCTGACTGAGAACAGGTTATAGCAGATATTTGATTTTTAGAAAACATAACTGCTAAAAAGTGCTGTTGTCATCTCTGATTTCCAGAAGTACTACAAAAAAAGCCTGAATGTGTCAGAAAAGTTCCTAAAAGTGATATTTTGTCTCTTTATCCAGTATTGCTGCCAAAGAAGCCCTGGAGAGGCACTTTGGAGAACAAAGCAAACCTTCTTCTCAGGAAATCATGAGGATGGCTGAGGGGCTTAACCTTGAGAAAGAAGTTGTGAGAGTTTGGTTTTGCAACAGAAGACAAAGGGAAAAAAGAGTGAAGACAAGTCTGCATCAGAATGCCTTTAGTTCTATTATCAAGGAGCACCACGAGTGCCGGTAAAGCTTTTCCACATGTAGCTGTGGATTTCTGTTTTGCTATATTTTAAGAACTTTGTTGCTTAAAAAACAAAACAAAACAAAAAAATGGTAAAACACTTGATTCCTTTACAAGCTAGACAGCTTCTGATGCAATTTGGTATAGAAGGCCGGATTTCACTGTAAAATGTTGAAGAAAAAAATGCTATTGCATATACCTGAAGTGTTGAAGGCCTAAATTCAAGGAAGCTATTAGGCATCACTCAACCAGAAATGCTTTAGAAATAGCACACGTAGTTGCAGTTTCCCTATGCTGTGCCCTCACAGTCTGCATTGTACTGAATGATTAACAGGGAATCCCCACTGTAGGTACCCTAAGCATGAGGAAACAAATCCTTTGTGTTACTCATGAAGAAAGGTTACAGTGCTTGTGTCAGCAGCTGTAGCTCATGAAAGATTTTTGCCTCAGCCTGTCTACATACGTGCCATACCCCCAGCCCATCTAGCTATCTAACTGAGCTAACCCTTATGAGATGATGAGCCATTAGGCACATTACATGGTCCCACCCCCAGCATTGAGCACTGAGTTCACTAAATTAAACATCAAAAAGAAGTTAGAACTTCGAGGAAGAGGAGAACATGAAGAAGTGATCCTAAGCTTGCAGTGTTGACAGTGTTGAGTATCTATTTATGGCCAACGATGGGATCCTGGAGGACTGTCAGTGAATGTGAGTGATCCAGGAAGGCAGTAGAGGAATGTGAGATGAGGACTGTAAAGCTGCCTTCCAAAAACTGGCTGATATTCAGGGACAAGATCACAGATGCTGTACATCTCCGACTGAACTACTTCAAGTAGTCTTGGGTCTTTTCAAATTGAAGATATGAAAGATGTGCCATAGCTACTGTCTTTATTTATGGTAGAATAAGCTTACCAATACTGAGACGTCAACATGGCTCCTCACATGTTCTTGGTTTCAGTGTACCACTGCCTTAAACAGGTGCTAAGTTCAAGTGACATTTTCTAATGCTAGTTATAAAAGGTAGTTCCTGCCAATTCATTGCATGCCTTAAGGTTTGGTTTGGGTAGGTTTAGCTATTGCATTAAGAGTTTATGGCTTGATGGGAAAAAGTAGGGAATGATCACTTAATTATTACTTCAGACTTTCTCCGCGTTACATTTTTTTAAGATTAAATCCTTTTGTGGACACACTTAAATGAGAGAGTGTATTAAGTGAAAAAACAAGGCTTTTTTGCTTTGAAACAAGTAGCCAAAGCATTTACTGTACTGTATATTCCCACTCTCTCTTACACCCCAACAACTGAGAATAACCCCTTGTCATCCTGTAGCCTGGAGAGAAAATCAGGCAAAAAAGAACAATAAAAACTTACAAAACAACCCCACGACAATAAGCTAACAAAAACCAGTGACAGTGCCAGAGCTCCACCTATCAGAAAGCCAGACACCAAGAAACTAAATTAAGGACTTTAGTACTCACCAGGGACAGATTATCAAGCCATCTCATCAACCCTGCTTGTTGTTATTAAATAGCCCATTATCATATATGTATTTTACACTTTTCCCAGGACTGGAATTAAGTGAGTACAAGTAAGCAGTAATGGCCTGATAAATTTTATTTTTCCATTAAATAGACCTGATGATTTAGAAAATGTCTAAATAATAGGCCCACAGAAAGCAAAGAGGTTTACCGTTCAAGATCACTTAGAATCAGCATGGACAAATTGTGTTTTCACACTCTTGCATGTTAAATTGTCTCTGACACCTATTACTGTGACCATAAGCTTATTCAGCTGTGGAAGTTTGGCCTTGGAAATATATTTTTATGGATTAATTGCACTGCTACAACCCCTTAATTTAGAAGCAGATGCTAATCTAACCATTCAAATGGGAGAAATTATGCTATATACCCTAGTGGGTTAGTTCTCAGTGCTAGCATAGCTCACCCACAGCAGCACAGACCACACCTCTGCCTTTTTCAGTTGTGTGTGTGTTGACAGATCATGAGCTTTCCAACAGGATAAAAGATAAACACATTTGAGATGACTGGCACTCAACAGCATGCATTTCTGTACTTCTGATATTACGTAGTCTAGTGTTGTATGTATGTTGAAACTACTGACAAGTATGAGTTTTATTTATATTGTAAGTTATTTTATTGATTATAAAAGGCTTCCTAGTGATGCTGTAAGCCTCTATGTTCTCTTCCTCCCCAAATAAAGTAATCTTACACGTTCAGTTTTCCACATAATTGTTTGTAGTTCTCTTTCAGCAATACTTAACTTTTTTAGCTGTGAGTTGTACAGATTTGTTTATTCACTTTAGCATGCTGTAAGTTAATTCAAGAGAAATTCATGGAACTGTGATTTCTTGTCTTTCACAAAGTCTCCCAAGTGAAGGCTAATTGCAGAAGCTTAGCAAAATAAAATGAAAATTGACACACAGTGCCATTTGTTACAGAAGAGTGACAAAAAAACTAACTGAAGAAGCAGTCACCACCTAAACACATCTAGCTGTCACCATGGAAATACTAACATCTCAGAGCAGAATCGGTTTAAAAAAACGAAAGAAAAAAAAAAAAAAAGCCTGGATGAAATCAATTTAATGTGCTGCAGCTGCAGCTGTTGGACTTGGAGAAAAGTGGCAATTCAGAGTTTTCTCTAGGAACAAATAATTCACTGGCTAATTGCCATCAATCATTCTTGATTGAGGGAAAAGGCCTAGATCAGATGCCTGACATTTAGTTAGCTTTATAAGCCTGCAAGTAAGTTTAGGTAGCTGCTTAACAAATATGGGTTGTGCCATTTTTCTTTGAAGTTTTGTGGGTTCTTTTTTTTTTTTTTTTTTTTTTTTTTTGCTTTTACTTTGCCAATGGTAACTGTAGGTAACTTGCAAGAAGTAGAACATAGGACAAAACAAGATCTTCTGCTAATACCTATACCTGTGGTTCACCTGTCTCCTGAGTGATGTACGCTCTTATCATCACATCTGAAGGAGGCAGTGTATCTAGAAAAGGACACAGTATCAACAAAGCTATTGATCAAAGGTAAGTGGAATAATTAAGCTAGATTTTTATCTCTGAGATGTAATGTACATTGACTGTTATAGTGATCTACTGAATTACATGCTGTACAGAAAAGATGCAGACAGGTTGTTCACCATCCTGCATAATATAAAAACTAAGTCAATGTGTAAAGTTAAACATAGAACAGTGATTCTCGGTGTGGTAAGGACTAGATTGTGGAACTCCTCTACTAGAAACTGTGAGTGCCAACAATTTATTCATGTGACTAAGCCTGCAGAACAGAAAGCCACTCAAACTGCCATATACAGTAAAATTGTGTACCCTATGGAAATAACTTTGATAGATGACTACTAATCTCTCTCCCAAACTTTATTTTCTTTATCTTGTTCTTTTGTTTTCTTGGGCACTGCTTACAGGCACAGTGGAGTGGGATTCTGTGTGACATGGACTGTGGTCTGCCTCAGTATAGCTGTTTTTAGGTGCATCAAGCAATTGTGCTGTTCTTTCTGGATAGAAGACTTTCAGTTCCTGTTAAGGTGTGAGCAAGGATAAAGGAGTATGAGGGACTGAGTTGGTTTCTTTGTCATTTTAGTTTACTCAAAATAATATTAAAAGAACTTCTTTCTTAGTAGGGAGATGTAATTTGGTTACAGAGTGCTACAAAATATGTAACTAACTATAATTGAAATAAACATAACTAAGCCTACAAACACTTTATTCTGCTACTAAGATTTTCATGTTAATTAGGGCTGCAGAACTTTGGATAACTGTCTCCAGAAACACTGCATAGATCTTGATGATGACTTCAGATAAGCAATCTTTCTGATGCCAAATAGCAATGCCTTCATTACTGTACTTCAAGGACACTAAAGATACAGGAAAAAGCTCATCACTGAAGTTTTAACATCACCCAATTTTAACAACTACTGAAAGAATAAAGTATGCACTTCACTCAGAAGGGACACAAATCTTGGTCTTCAACCAAAATACAATCAATTACACTTTACACCTAACTTCACATTACACTTTGTCCTTCAACGCCTAGGAGTAGAAACTCCTTTTCAAAAGGAAGGAAACGCAAACTTAGTCAAAATCTGTACTTAATGTTGAGTCAAAGGCCCACAGACAAAACATTTACATCTTGCATAAATACTCAATAAATGTTATGCTTCTTTATTGCTTGGGTCAAAGGTAAATTTACGTTTAAGAATGAGGCTATTAAAAAAAAGAAAAAAAAAAGTTGTATAATTTGGATAGCAGGTTACTCAAAAGCTTTGGACCTTACCTGTTGTCTTTGTGACTTTAAGCTTGGATTTTCACACTTTAAAAGGCAAGGAAAGGAGAGATACCGAGTAAGAGAACAGAGTGGCACCGCGTCAGCAGTTTTGCTTTTGTAGCTGTTGAGCCCAAAGGAGCTCCCCAAAACCAACAGTAGGAATGGTATCAGAAATCTTACAGGTGCTGAAAAGTGGCAAGATAACAGATCTAACAATGCAAAGACAAACCACCAAGAGAAGGATGTTTAGGACTAACTTCTAGAGGACAGAACCACTGTGGAATAAAAAAAACCTTTTATTAGATTTTTACAAAATAACTTGTTTAAAAAAAATCACTTTAGAGGGATAGGCAATATATAAACTTAAATGTTCATATCCACTGCCTCACAAATTAATAGCACATTCCTTACTCTCTCTAATTGTTATCAACATCCGTGTAAAAAAAAAAAAAAAACAAACAAAAAAAAGACATATGAAGATTCACCTATGCTTTTTTTCTCTGCTGATTTGAAACGTAAAGCAGATGGTGCAACGACAGTAGTTGCACAGAAGTTAATGTTTCCTCTTGTACTTTCTCTAACAGCAGTGTTTTCAAGAAACTTGTACCTCAAAGTTTTTCTGTTTTCAATCTTCAGAGGTATTTTACTTTCTTCTTTGTAACAACAGTGCTTTTGTTGTTTCTGTTTGCTGCACAGCCCCACTATACCAGCACAACCAGGCAAATAATCTACAGCAGAGTAAGGGCCTGAGGAACTTTATGCTATCTGGGAAGTTGTAACTGGGAACTGCATTCTCAGACTTCGTCATCTACTAAAAATGTCAAGTTTTTATTTCATTAGTCAAATGTATTCCACCTAAAGCCAGAATCAAACTGATACAGCTAAGAGATCATAGGAAAAAAAAACCTTAATGGAAGTAGAATGCTTTTATTGTAGTGTTTTGACAAGTAATTATCATGTATCATCCAAAATTGTCCTCGTAACTGAGAATTAGATTTAGTTTATAATCAGTGTGCTCAATTATATCTTAATAAACTCAACTATGCACAGTTACCTCCCATTAAGAAATACTGTAAAATATATACAAATGTTTCAGGCAAGTGTCCTTTTTGCAGATGTAGAAGTAGCATTTCTGAACAGGTACATTTCTAAACATCACTAAGGCTGATCAGAGCTCTTGCCATAATGTTTTGTGGAAACTGTCTTATATTTCACTCTCCTTTCAATGACTCATCCTGGAAAAAAAATAATCCAGAATACTAGATTTATATACATAAAGGCACAGGAATACTGTTAGGTTACAGTACAATAGAGTTCAATCAGTGCCTTTCATGCATTGAAGTTCACTAATATCTAAATCCCTTCCCAGTAGAATTAACTGCACGACTGTATCCTTCTCCTTTGACAAAAAGAATAATCAACTATTTAGTCAACTAAAAGTTACTGCAGAAACTTGAAACAAGTGCATAAACTGCTTTTTCTTTCTGCCTAAATTGCTGGACTTTCAAGGCTATTTCTCATCAAAACAAAATAATTTCAGCTAAGAGTAAAGGTGAAGTTTCGTTTCTGCCAAGATGACAGACTAATAATTCTTCTATAGGAATAGATTTATAAAAATGATATATATTATACAGGTGCTATCCTAGGAGATAACACCACCAGCTACAGAACTGCCAATTTTAAGGACAGAAAAGGAACTGAGAAGAAAACTTTGAATTCAACAGAGAATGAATTCAGACCGTGTATAAATTTATCATTAGAGCTACATCCCTACCCAGTCCACTGCTCAAGACAATGGCATGCAATGGACACAGCAAGTGTTATTCTCCCTATCAGTTGATTCAGAGTGGTCTCCTTCTCCCTTCAGAGTATCAGTTTGAAGATATCATTTCTGCAGCTTCAGAGTTTTCCTAGGCATCAGTTGCATTGACAAAGTATTTGCACTTTTTACATCTGTCTGCAGCTGAACAATTAGAAGGCAGACTATTGCCATCAAGTTAATCAACTCCCAAAGCTTTGAGCTGTCGTTCAATCTCCTCATCTGATATGGTAGCAGCTTTTGATGTTGATGCAGATGGTAAACCTCTGGCAGCAGATGGAGCTTTGGCCATCTAGGAAGAGACAGAAACTTTCTTTAATCAAATGAATACCATTTATAAGAAACTGACTACTAGAACAGGACTTTAAAATAAAGGATGTTAGAAAAAAATACTCGGGGTGGGGGTGGTGAAAATCAATGAAAGGGAAGAAATATGTGAAATAATTCATAATACCCATACCTTTCCAGAGATTTCAATTCCTATCTCATCAAGCACTTGGTTAACAATATCCTGGCTCTCCTCCTCTTCATCAGAAGCATCAAAAATATCATCTAAAGTATCATTAACTTAGAAGAAAAAAAAACACCATTACATTATGCAAAGAGACTAAAAAAATCTACTGCTGTTTTTCTACCCTCCCAAAATACCACTAAGTAAGATAGATACCAGGAAAAAGCAACAGTATATTAGAGATGGTATTCTAACTTCCGCCTTGCAAAGCCTGCAACTGTGGGGAGGTATAACACAATACAATATGACTGCTCTTGTAAAAACGTTTGGTTTCAGTGAAATAGCTCAGTTGTTCTATTACCACTCCACTATGTTTTAAAATATTTTCTTTTCAAAACACCATCTACAGTTCCCTAAAAATCCCTTCCCTCTTCCAAATAAGTTGCAGAATTGTTACCTAATTTCTGAATAAATAAAACCCATATCAGCATGTACATAAAGCTGAGATGATCAATAATTTCTCAGTTAAACTTGAATTGCTAACAGTCCAAAACAAAAACCATATACAGAATGATCAACTACAGGAAAAGCAGTTTTTCCATGACCTCCTATTAGGTTATGCCAATTAAGCCTTGTAGTGGTCTCAAACCCTTTCCCCCTCCCGTATGTTCCTGTTGGAAGTATGGTGAGTGTTTCACATGAAGAAGGAATGGATTAACGTGCTACTAAAGTAGTGCTACCAAAAAGTCTAAGGCAGCCTCTCTGCTCAGACATTTATAGTTTTGTTTGCTTTTCACTTGCTATCACTTTCTTTGTTTGGAGAAATAAAACCTCAAACATCTGTATTTCTATACTGGTTTAAACCTTGCAAGGAATTATGGGATGCAGCTAGCTATTTTCCCTAAATGCAGAACTTACTCATTTCTTCAGTCATTTCCATCTTCATATTTTCCTTCTGGAAATTCTGCATAGTTTGTAGTGTCTTTTGTGGATCCATTTTCTTATTAACTGCTTGCATTGTCTAATAATATGGGGGGAAAAGTCACCATTATCATACAGTTAGACAGTAATAAAGGCCAATATATGCATTAAGAAAGAATAAAACTTCTCTAATAAAATAAACAATTTAGTCAAAATTTTATGTTTTTTGGTTCTTTCACATGCTAGGAGTACTGCAGACACATAGATCGATAGTACAGTCTGCACCTAGTAAGAAATACTGCTTTCTACTAAACTAATAGATAAACTCTTTTAAATGTGCCTTTCTTGCACCTTTATACTTGGAAAAATCTGCCTGATCTTAATGAAAAGAAGGGGAAAACATTTCCTTACTTGCAGTCTATACATTTTAGAGGTAAATGGTTGTAGGTTTTTTATTTGGTTGAAGAACACTTATTTCAACCACCACTAGAGGACAGACACTAAATTGCAATCATTTCCTTATACAATTTCATGGAAAAATGATTCTTTTTTTTTGTGAAAAGCAAATAAGTGCTCACGTTAGCTTACAGTGAACTCTTGTATTGAGTACAGATCAACTGTTTTACTAGAAGTACCCAGCTGTCTTTGCTTATAAAAAGCATGCTTCTACATCTCTCACGGGATGTCTAAACCCAAATATAGGTGTGAGCAATATAAATGAAAGAGTATATCCAAGAAGGTAACAGTTGGCTTGATAGCACCCCTTAAATTAGCCAGTACATCCACTACTACTTCATAGAAGCACTACTTCTTTACTTCTGATTTTGCTTCAAGTGACTATAGAATGTCTCAAGCTGGAAGGGATCTGTAAGGATCATCAAGTTCAACCTCTGACTCCACACGGGATCACCCAAAATCAAACCATATGACTGAGAATGTTGTCCAGATGCTTCTTGGACTCTGGCAAACTCGGTGCCATAACCACCACCATGGGAAGCCTGTTCCAGTGCCTGACCACCATCTCAATTATGATAAAATAGTACGCTTCAAACATTACCTGAATTTCAAAGGTTGTGTCCCTATTCTTATTATTTTAATTGAAGAACTTGTTCTGGACTTGTAGGGTGTTAGTTCTTTAGAATTCTTCTACTCATAGATGAATATAAAAAAAATACTTGTACTACATTGATTTATGTATCTTTAGCAAATAGAGGTCAGACCCATGATTAAAAAAAACAGGTGACTACTCACTGGACTTTATCCAAAATTAGTGCCACACGAGGCTAAAATCCATTTTGATGATATTTTGGAAGTTTCGCGTTCATGTATTTGTTGTCCCTCTTAAGGCAACTGATTGCATCTATTTTTCTGCTGATGTAATAATTAATTAAAAAGCAAGATCAATTTGTTCCCATGCAAGACTCTTAGGGAATATATTCAGTAAACTTTTTAACCTGATTGGTCGTGCAGTCAGACACATCACCTGTTTGTGGGTTAATCCTGAAAAATAAAGTTTGCTGCAGAGCTACAACTTCATCACTGGATGGGTTCGTTTCTGCCACATACTCCTCTAAATATTTTTTTCACAGCAATAATTACTTTCTGCATTAAGCTGCAAGGCACGTAACTGGATTTATCTCAGACTGTGACAGAAGTACTATTTATCTGTAATTACTTGTGCATCTTCTGTTTTCTATATCTCAAGTTGAACAATCCTGCTGCCAAAACAAAGTTCCTTATTTATCAGTTCAAGGAAATGGGAAACAGTTCATAAGACTGTGATAACTGAGATTTTTCAGAGTCTTTTATGACCTAAGATTTGTGAGAAAACTTAATACAATACTGGTTCCTTAGAGCACAGAGACTGAAAATGACCGGGAACCCCAGATTAAATTTCCTCAGCAATGTATCATCTCAAGTAATAACCTACCTTACACAAGCTATAAAGCTCCTGTTACACACTGCCTTGATTTCCAGATGAAGCATTCCCCACCTTATCCCCAGTAAAAACTGCTTGTGACATGACATACAAGCAAAAAATTGTAATCGCATGGTTGCCTGTCGTTTTTGTGGTGGTGGTGTATTTTTATCCACTGGAAGAGCCATTTCACTGGTCTTAAAGGTGAATTTTATCATGCAAACATTTGACAGATGTCTGAACCAAGAAGGTTCTCCCAGTTAGGCTCTAACTGGCAGGACTAATTGGACAAAGAATTCATAATACAAATCAAATTATATTCCCCTACTGTATCCTCAGCACTGTTGATGGTAGTAAGCACTACGCTTGATTCCATTAGTAACTGCATGCAAAATGCCTCCACGTTTACATTAAAATGCAGCATATGCTTGTAACACCTTACTTTTGCTGTAGTTGACATAGCTCCAGCCATCTTCATCTGCGAGTTCATGACTTTTGTTTGAGTTGACATAGAAGTGACTTTAGAACTAACAGCATACGTTCGATTTTTCTGTTTCCGCAGTTGTACAAGCTGTTTGGCCAGAACTTTGCAGGCTTCCTTATTACCAGTCTTAGCCATTTTTTTTATCTCCAATTCCTATTAAGAAAACAAACAAACAACAAAAACAAACATTCAAATAATATAATAAAGTCCCAAGTTCAGGAATTTTTAGTGTTAACTATTTCCTATTGCTTTTTTTTTTTTTTTTCCCCAGGATTTTTTAAGTTATATCAACAGTTAACTGATTTTTTACCGAGGTTAGTCAAGGTTATTTCATAGAATAAATACAAAGCAGGACAGCTTTGTATTTAAAACCCAAACTGAATCAGGTAGTATGGTGGCACAGTTTCCCAAAAGGTTTCACTTCAACTTTTATATAATGTCACATTAATTTCTATGAGAATATTCAATTCTGTGTCTGGGTATGGAGTAACATTTGAAAAAAAAAAAAAAAAAAAAAAAAAAGTGAAGAAATAATTATGTCCAGCCAATTATTAGTGCCATGACTCTAATCTTTTTTGATTTCTTGCATTTACTAGCACTCCTGCTGCACTGCCCATGGAAGAAACAGTGAGGCCATAGGCTCTGCTAGTTCTTCAGCTTAGAGATAATCTCATAAATTTTGGGGGAATAAGTAAATAAAGATAGGAAACAAAGGCTCTATTTGCCCACATCACTTACCTGAACTTATCACATAATAAAGCACTATGGTTTGTCTACAGCAACATGCACTTAACGTAGACACTACTGGCTAACAAGAAACAAACTTATTTTTCAGCTCAGGGAAACTGCAGGTACAGAAGTACCAGGGAAAAGTTTGGCACAAATAATTCTGTTAGCAGGGATTTTTTTAAATTATGTCTTTTGATTTGTAGCTCACAGAGACCACAAAAACAAAATTCCATAGTAGGCCCAGAATTTTGGTTTTTTCCATACCTCAAATATTGCAAATGACTGAAGAGATTAGTTTAGACTGAATTCTTTAACAGCAAACATCTGCAAATAAAGATCCTCTCAGTGAGAGTACTAAGTAGCATTTATTACTTGACTTTTTTGAAAGATAAACCAAAATCAATCACTGCTACATCACTACAAATAATCCAGATAATAAACCAAATAAAATATTTATTATTTTATTCTTAACTTTGCAGAATTTGGATAGCAAGCTGCAATACAGTATTGGCTTTTTTTTCAGTGGCTTGGGGCTAGTTTATCCAACTCAGTTAGGTTCTTCTGAAAAAAATAAAATGAATATAGTCATATTGGGTTCCTGAACTGAAATAGAAGTGTCTGCATAGTATCAGGGATTCTCTTTCAGAGGAAAGAACATAATAAAATGTTCTGAGATTGACTGATAGATAAATAGGACCTGACTCTTACAAAGCAGTGTTTGATCTCCATTAATTGTCTTAACTGAAGAGCATGTTTTAACTTTTTTTGAAGACATAAGTTCATTTTTATCCCCCCAAATATCAAAAAAATTTCTGATAGAATTTAATGTCCCAAATAATCATGAAAATTAAGGTATTTTTAGAATTAGAATATTTCCTACTGAAAAAGCCTTATCAGTGAGTAATCTATTACAAACTACCTGTTGTAAAGCTTCAAGAAACAGCGTGACCTCATTTTAGCTCTCAAGGCCTGCTGTCATGAAACACCACCTCAGCAGCTACTGAAACATTGCCTGGATTTACGTAGCTTTTCCCAGTCAGACCATGTCTTCATGCATCAGACCACACCACCTGTCACATCCATTTATCTAATTATGCTGCCACACAGCTGCAGCATCCATTCATTGAATACATGATAGCTCCCACACATGAAGTTTTAAAGAAGTTTTAATTTAGGCAAATATTTTTAACATTATTGGCTAGTTTTATGAAACTTCTAGCTGAACAAGAAGAATAATGCTATACAGATATTCATAATACCTACAGTCAGAAAAACTGTCAGCATAAACATCATTTATCTTATCAGTATATTATCAGTAATCTTTCCATTACTATACCATTGATTAAAAGCCTAGTATGAAAAAATATCATGTTCTGAAGGATAGAGAATGCTAAAAATGGAGAGAAAAAATGTGGATGTAGTGATTAAATCCAAATGCATTGTTTCTTTCTCTAGCTATGTTAAAGACTGAGCATCAGAATCACTTTTAAATTGTTTTCCAACAAAATTTTAATAACTGAAAAGTCAAAAAGGAGAAGCCAATTTTTTCAGCATTCAACTGTTATCCATTGAGCACTATCTTTAGCACTTTGCAAGTTGTTACGTTAAGCAGCTGTTTGTTTTTAAAACGAAATTCTCTGCTCTACTTACCAGCTGTTTTTCCTGTTTTTCAAGTGCTGCTCTATCTCTGGTTATAGTCCTCTGCGTACCTCTTAGCTCTCGGTTTTGCTCCTTTATTATATCTGGAAAAAAAATATTTACAGCTAGGAAAACTTTTCAGTAGTATATAAACATCTTGTCTGCCAAGCACTCTGCACACATGTTATATTTTGGACAGCTTTTCGTTCAAAACAAAGTCAGCTACCAGAACTATCAGCAACTCAAATACATGAAAATACAGGCAACATACAATTTGATGTACACAGTGTAACTATAGCATAGCTTCAACAGCACAGGCCTTAGCATACCCAACTTAGCATAACCTCTGCACCACAGCAAGATCCTTAACCACCCAGTAAGGATTAGATACAGACACTTTTCTGCAAGTTTCAGCTGTAACTCAGGATTAACATATTCAGTATGAATTCAGATTTTGTCAACAAGTCAGACCTAACTGCAACAGGGAGGTCAGGTGAAGAAACCTAATACAGATGATTCCAGAGAAGTTATGGTGCTCTCAGAACCACTAATGCAGTGAAGATGCTTTTAAATGGAAGCCCAGGATCTGTTTTCTGACCTTATTTTGGCTCAAGAAAGATGATTATTTTCCTCCATAAATATAACACATCTCTACAACTCAACTTTAAGACAGACCAAGAAGCAAGAATTCTTACATTTTTCCCAAAAGTTAATAACTGGCTAAGAGTATTTCAGTACAAAAGTGGAGGACTTTATAGCGTAACGCTTTCTGGTGTACTACAACTGATGTAGTAAGCAGATGCTTGAACACTATCACAAGAAATGTAACATCCTCCACAGATGTTCCATCCATTCTGCCTACTAATTGGTAATATCCACTTAGTAAAAGCAAGAATTTCTTAAAATATGGGCATCAGTCATGCCAGTTGCAGTTAACTTTTGTTAGAATTTACAGCAGGTGCATAGATGTGATTCACCTGGGCGAAGGTAAGAGGCCTGCATCTGACTCAGAATCCTCTGACCTTTATAAAGGAAATAAACTGGTGCTTTTAGGAGGAGATTCATCTATTTCTAATGCATATATCTACTACTAGATAAATTTTGCATGGAAATTTAACAGGAGCACACTATCACTTAAATTTGTGTCTAATCCACAGAAGGACTGCCACAATGGGGTTCTGCTACAGTACTGAAAAAGGCTTAGGCATGAGAAAAATCAGTGCAAATGGATAGTTATGAACAGAAATAAAGCCATAAAGGATATAAAAGATTAATTGCTGATACACAGCCACTCTTAATTATTTTTATTTTTTTTTAAGGCTGGCATCAATTTTTCTAGGTACAAAGAAATACTCAGATTCTGTTTTCTCCCATTAAGAAATACTGTAAAACATCCAGGGCTGAAATTAATTCAACCTTGAATAGGTTCTAATTTAAAAAACAAACAAACAAACATCAGCAGCAAGTACATACACATTGCCCACTCCCACCAAATGTTTTCAACCAAATAAACATATATTGCAAACAAACTCTGTGAAAACAGATTCCCTTCTGCAGTGCTACCACTACTCCCAGAACTACATAAAGATCATCCTCAGGAAACGGAGTTTTCAATGGACATTAACAAAGAGCTGAAAGATGATACAGAACATAACACTACATTCTACACATGAGCAAAGCAGCAGTGAGAATTATTTGTGAATACAATGCTACAGGCAAGTAATTTGAAAGGCAGACAAATGGATATTACTTGGACAGCTGCATGCGTGAAAATGAAAGAAAAGGTTTAACAGCTACGTACAAGACTACCTGCTCTAACTACAGCATCTTAAATTCCTTTAGAAAAGAAAACTTGAGAAATAGGAACTTCAGGACAATAAGAAATAAAATTGTCATGAGACCATATGGGCTAGCACAATGCTTGTTTTCTTCCTCTCTGATCTCACAGCATAGCTTAAACTAAAGACAGCAACACACTGAAAACAATGCTTGCTTGCAATTACAAGCTCTTCCATTTGTTTTTGCAAATGAGGGACGAGAACTTGTATCGGCTACACAGCAAAGTGAGAAGCAAGTTCCTAGCTTTGTTCCTTTTGCTGATGGCCATCCTAGGAAGCACCTGCACTCACACACCTGTGTGGGCAAGAGGGCACACCTCTGTTCCTGCAAACCGGCGGGACCAGAGATGGCTGGCAAGGCCTGACCTGGTGCCGTCATGGGAATGTAGCGTCATCTCCTCCTTCCTCCCCACAGACTGTGCACCAGAAATGGGAAGGAACGAGAGCAGATACGTATTCTTCCTGTGTGAAGTACAATTGGCTGGCACACAGCGTCACTTTTGGCACGCAGCTTTCAAATGAAGACCCAAATGATCCGGCAAGGAACATCACAGAATCACAGGGGTTGAAAGGAACCTCTGGGGATCATCAAGTCCAGCTCCTTGCTAAAGCATCCGCCAAACCATGCAGCCAGCCTGGGGGCTTGTGCCCACACCCGGCATGCCCCTGCCCCGGGTGTTGGCTACACGAGGCAATGCTTTTTTGCGAGAGCTGACAGCTGCAAGCAGGACTTCCTTGTGAGGTAAGCAATCTTTTCTGGCTTTACTCTCGAGAAGGTCACTGCTGCGTCTGTTTGAACACTGTGCCCACAGACTGGCTGTGGAAATGACGAGACCAACTTGTCGGAAGGCCCGCACAGCACAAGTGCATCAGGGAGCTCAGCGACCGCAGCCTTCTGCTGGGGAGCACAGCGATGCTCAGCCGCCCACCCCTACACCACGGACAACCCTCGTTCCCCGGACCAGCACGACTCGTCTCTCTGTTCATTCCGGCTCCACCAACTCCCTACAGCTCGTTTTGTTCCCTCGCTGACAACGAACGGCGTTTGTTCTCTTTTTCTCCGGCACCCACAGGAAGGGGATCGCCGGGGTCCGGCTTCCACCGCCACCCGTAGCCCAGCCGCCCCGTGGGGGGGCACGGCGTCTTTCGCCTCCGCCCCCAGGTGCCTCCCGATGAGTCCCCCCGAGTTTCCGGGACGCCGGGCCCGGGCCTCCCCGAGGGCACCGCCACCGCCCTCCCCTGGGCGCCGTCAGCCGCGCTCACCGTCCACAGTCTTCTTCTTAAAAAGCGAAGCCATGCTGGCGCCCGGTCCCGAGCCCGCCGGAGACCCCTGAGCCTCAGCGGGCTCCTTCCTCCTCCTCAGGTGACCAGGAAGCGGCCCGACAGCTCACAGCGCCCGGCTCCTCCTCCCCAAGGCAAGGGGCGGGCCAGGGCCGGGCTGCGGCGCTTCTCCGCCTCCCTCGTCTGCGGCGGCGGCTCGGGTCGGCCGCTGCCTTCTGCAGCCCGAGCTGTCTGTGTTCACGATGTGCGGGAAGCGGGCATCTGCTGCCTATTCGTAGCTACCGTGGGGCACAAGAGAGAAGAGTGTAAAAAGTAATAATGTTTCTGGCTTTCAAAGTCTAATTACAATCCTCAATTTTTAATAAGGTAGTCACAGCGTAGCTGTTGCTAACTGATGTCTACACCAACTAATAAGAAAATAAAATCATAGCTGAAGAATGTACATGAATATTTAATACTGGTTGAAAGTCTTTTTTTTTTTTTTTTTTTTTTTTAGTGTGTTTTGCAAGGAAAAGCAAACAATTGTAATGTAGAAGTGTATTTTGACATCTAGACATAATGCCTTTCCAGGTTGTCTTTGTGCTTATGGTCCCTGATCAGCCCTGCTTGCTTTTATAACCTCGCATGGAAAAACAATCTCTTGGAATAGCATAGCAACAGTGTAAAGATTTATGTGGATTTTACGACAGTGATACTTAAAATCTGTATTTCTGGAAAATCAATTCCAAGTAGCTAGTTGCTACACTGAAATCTAGGTCATGCATGATGACATCAAATACTGTGAGTTTTAACAGTTCGCTGTAAGGTGAACGATGCACATTTTGCAAGTTTATTTCTGTATGTCCGCTACTATCTGTTCCATCCGATCGCTTAGAAATGAGTTAGCCACCACAACTGAAATTCTGGCATTAAAAATGCACAGATGAAGGGGAGGAGAGAGCTTGTGATGGACATTCAGTTCCCCACTTTTCTGAGAGAAAGACTGAGCAGTTTACGCTGTTCTTCAAATGAGCTAATGAGCTGTGCAGCCAGAAAATCATTTTTCCACAAAATTTCTTCCTGAACGTTGTCTTGTGATGAGGGAAACAATGATCACAGAATATCCCAAGCTGGAAGGGACTCACAGGGATCACTGAGGTCAATTCCCAACTCCACACGGGACCACCCAAAATCCAAACCCTATGGCTGGCAGTGATGTTGAAGTGCTTCCTGAACTCTGGCACTTGTGGCCATGCCCACTGCCCTGGGCAGGCTGCTCCATGCCCACCACCCTCTGGTGCAGAGCCTGTCCCTAACCCCCAGCTGCCCTCCCCTGACACAGCTCCATGCCGTTCCCTCGAACCCTGTATCTGTCACACAGGGCAGAGCTCAGTGCTGCCCCTCCGCTCCCTATAAGGGGCTGCAGCCGTCGTGAGGCCACCCCTCAGCTCCTCTGCTCTGCTCTGAACCAACCAAGGGACCTCAATTGCTTTTTATGCACCTTGTCCTTCAGGCCCTGCTCTCTGTGCTGCTTTTGTTGAACTCCATGTAAGTGGCAACTGTCCAGCCCTCTGATTTGCCACCATCTCTCCACAAGGCCTTTCTGCTCTGGAAGGAGTCAACAGGTCTTCCTACTTTTGTCATCTGCATACTTCTCTAGCATACCTTCAACTCCTGTATTCAAATCATTGATGAAAACATTCAAGAGAACTGGCTGGGAGCCGACTCTCTAGTTGGTTGGGGACTGTGATATATTGCAGGTGTGAAAAATTTAATTTCTTCAGATTTGTTATTGCTTGTTTATTGGGTGTAGGTGGCAAGGTTTGGTTAGGGGGATGGCCTCTGTAGAAAGGGTCTAGATGCCGCCTTGTTCCAGGCACAGCTGATGCCAGCTGGCTCCCATTGCCCTAGCCCACTCTATCTTACAGATATGATCAACACAAGTAGTGTAAGTGCATTTATGAGGGCCAAAGTGCTCTCTTCTGCAGGGCAGGGTTTCGGAAGGATGGTGTGATTCTGTATGAACTTAAAATTGAGCACGTTCAAATGGAAGTACAAAAAATTATAACTGTGTGTGTGTGCATACATAAGCTACTCTGCCATCCATTTAAATATTCAAGCACATTTTTAATTTAAACCAGGTGACCAGGTTCAGTTTACTTAAAACTGAATGTATTCAGGTTCTCAGACAGAATGACTGATGTGGAGATACCCTTGCAAGTCATACCTTTTTCATACTTTTGATATAAAGGCTGATGCAGAAAAATACTCCTCTGACACACCTGGAGGAAAAAAAAAATAGAGGTGAATTTGAGTTTTGAGATTACTCTCAAGGTTGTGCTTCAAACCTTTGAAGCTTTCTGACTGTATCAGTTAGTCTAATGAAAATTATTAGACCTCCTTATCTTCATTTCTAGTGTGAGGGAAACTTTACAAGTGAACTTTATCTGACAAGCTAAGACAGGCTGTCTTGGGATGTTTTGTGAATAATGACCCAAATTCAGAACTCTGTTTGATCTATTCTGGGCCCTCATCTGCAGATACAAAAAAAATTAAATGGGGCCATGTGTAGTAAAGAATGAAGTGAGTAAACTGAAAATTAGAGGAACCTGACAGATAAACGATCAAAGAACTGTATAAATGTATTGTTATATGAAATGCTTAAAGCATAAAATAAGTTTGTAAAAATAAGTGTCTTTGGGGCCTCAATAACTGGGTACATGCCAAGTCCCACAGAGGCTTGCACACGCTTTATCATGGAGAAACTCCAATGAAAACAGGCACATCAGCTACACATCTAACTAGGAGTTTGTGAGATCATGCTGTAAAGGCTTATGTACCTTACACCTTGAAATGCAAAGATAGTTTGAGTTGGGAAAGGGAGTAAAAGCAAACATCAGGAAAAGAACTGTAGTGCCTGTAGAAATTTAAGTTGCACCTCAACTAAACGCTTGAATTTTTTTTTTTCCTGTGCAAGAATCAACTATTTCATAGACTGAAAGTTATGGTTTATTTATGTGTTTGACTCCCTTGAAGCCTGTTGGCATGTATCATGATGTTATCTCTAATTGCACTCATTAGTAACATGGAAAACAGCATCCTTTGCAGAGCAGGGAGGTGGTGGCAAGGTATTCAGTGAGAACAGGCTGTGACTAGCTAGGAAGAAGGTGATCTGGAAAAGTGCAAGAGAGGATGAGTGACCATTGTATAAGGTGTGTATGGAGCAAAAAGCCTGCATGGAAATTTGCGAATAAGAATTTAAAAGGCAGAAACAGTAGGAGTAAATGAAGAAGGTCCTAGAGGAGGGAATGGAGAGGATTGAGAGGAGTAGTGGAAATGGTGCAGCTGTGAGATGCTCCAGGTTCTCTCTGGTATTATAGCTCTGAAATTCTTCTCTCTTCTTGGTCAAATTTAAATGATTTTTATGTATGAAAAGAAAAAAAAGTTTTAAATCGTGCATCTTACTCCCATCTTAAAGGTCACACAACTTTTCAATAATTTTTCTGCAAAGCTCACAAGAGTTGGAAAGTACCTCATTCATTGGAAAAGAGGAGGAGTTCCATCTGGTAAATATATAGGTATGAAAGCTTCAGAAATGCTGAAATTAAATTTAAAGGTATATTTAGTAACAAAAAGTATTTAATGGCCTACAAATAAAATTACTGAATTTTGTTCATGTAAAAAAAATGTTAGAATAAGCCAGCTTGTGATGGGAATGAAGTCAGTGAACTACAAGATTAATCAGTGGGTTATCTATTTAAAATGGTTTATATTTTAAAACATGGTTTATTTTTAAAACATTTTGACTTCACCTCCCAGGAAGATATTTTTCATAAATTTTAGAAAATTCTGTCAAAGTGAATATGAAAGATGGAAAACAAGACATTCAGTCTTGTTATCTTTTCACAATATGAGTTGAGTTGGGCGTGTATGTGAAACAGTGTTTTGTTAGTCTCACAAATAATTGGTTCTTCTTTTGTCTGTCTAAAATAGATCACTTTTCAAAGAACTGCTACTCGTCTGTGCCTTACAAGATGTGCAGTTTAGAGAAGGTGTACACATTTAGGTATGGAATCATAATTTGATTTATTTTGTTCTTGTGAGGACTGTGTGACATCTGTGGAGACTGAATTTGTCTGTTCATATAAGGAGTTCTGTGATGTCAATGGTTTGCCTGGTAGTTCACTAAATTTGCTTCACAGGCTTCTGACGAAATTTAAAAAAAAAGTGGGAAACTGTAGTATCTTCAACATGAGATGTTACTGTATAGAATGAAGCCTTTTTTGGTCAGCTGGATCTCTGAACATTTGAAGGATGTTGTTTCCATCATAACTTTCTATTCTTGGATATATTTGCAAATAATTTTTTTGGGGGGGTTGGGGAGTTAGCAGGGCGGTGAGAAAACAAATTCTTATTTTAGTAATAAATAATATTTAAGTAATAAATAATATTTAAATAATAAATAGTAATAATACTGTAATAATTCTTACTATAGTAATCAGGCAAAAAAGTTTAGCATTGTATGAAAACAGTGTATCAAAATATATAGAGATATTTACATATGCAAGGTTATACCTTAGTTTTTTTTGTTTTTTTTTACTTTCACTGTAATCTTAATACAGCATAAGTTCTTTGCACCATTTAGCACGTGCATAACATTCGGGACTTTGTAAAACCCATTAAATGTCTAGTCCCTCCTTAGAGAAATCTGGTTTTAATTATTACCTTGATTGGTGATAATAAAATGCTTTTGAGTTGCAGAGTGCATCCTTTTTAACCTTCACATCTGATTGCAAGGTTCTTCCTTGGTGAAAGAAGAAACTTCATTATAAAATATGCAAGCAGATTTAGTTTTGCTTCAATAATCAAGTGCAGTAGGACATCAACTTTTTCTGTAGGGCATTCTTGAAATCAAGGGTTATACTTTTAAAAGCATTTACTTGAAAATACTGTATTTTTAAATGTTTTTGCCCAAGGAGAAACGGAAGCCCAAGCTATCAACAAAACAGGTAAATACTGTTAGTATTTTATCATAAGCTTCAAACACTCCTCAAGGCATCAAGTTAAAGGGGCAGGGGGAGGGAAGTGTGAGATTATGGAGAGGATATTTATTATTACAAAGTGTGAACTCAACAGGGATTGCTAAATGTT